CCCCAAAACCCCAAAACCCCAAAACCCCAAAACCCCTTAAATTATTCCCAGGATTGATATTTTCTAAAACATTTTGAAACGGTTCTAGATTAACTAACCAAAGTTTATGTGTTACGGATTCACTTCACCCGTACTAAGTATTACAATCTTCTCTATTAATCGTCTTCACTCCTCTTAAACACAGAATTAACATGAAGTTGCTTTTTGAGGTTGAGTATCTTATCTGCCATTGTATTCATACTTTTGGCTGCTTTCTCCTCTTCATTTTCTGACTTTCCAAAACTCCCAGACACTTCTGCACCTTGATCGTTCTTATTCTCCTCATCGAACTCCCAGTTTTTAATAAAAGTTTTCTTCCTATCAAATTTCTTGCCTTCTTTCACAACTTGGACTTTAGGATCTTTAGGTTTTCTGTCTTTTCTTATCATGAGATCCCTGTTTTTTAAGTTATCAACCATCTTCTGAGGATCGTTCATTGCAGACAATCCAGAGAGATTAGATTTGTTAAAGGAGTCATTTATCTTATCTGGAGAGCTATGGAGATTCAGTTTTGAGAGAGTATCCACAGGTCCATTGCTTGTTTGGAATAACTGACTGTAACTTGACTTAAAGGCATCATCATTGATGTTACTGAGATCAAAAGTTGCAAATACTTGCCTGTACCGTTCGATATCAGCCATATTGTAAGAAGTCTCACCAATGATAACCAGGTTCTTTGCCTTGCTGAAAGTTGAAGGAATATATTTGTACTTATATCTGAAACTCATTGAGAAAAATTTGAATTTTCTCCACCATATTTTGTTTCTACAGAGGAAACATAGGACTAAAAATAATAGAATCAATGAAAGCATAATTACATAAGGAATATTAATAATTACTCCAAGTTTCTCAAAGAATCCCTTCTCAGAGGGTTCATAATAACTTGTTGAGAATCCTTTTCTAGTTCCTTGCACTCTTTTGGTATCTTCTGGGAAAATATCTGTAGTTCCAAAAGTTGAAATGCAAGAGAAGATATGAAGAAGTAAGATCAGAACCACCATATAATCCACGATTTCAAGCTGAGTTCCATCCAAATTTCTTGGCTTGCGATAGAATTTCAAGATAAGCAGCTTTTCAACCCAAAAGTATATTAGAACAAAAATTGAAAACACCATGAGCAAGAAGGGAAGGCCTGGAACTAAGTACATAACAACTGTAAGTATTCCCAAGAGATATGGGATCTTGTGGTGGTATCCTAATTCTTTCCTTCTCATGTTTTCTTCAAGTTCTCTTTGTATGATTCAAGACTTTCTTGTCATTTTTCTCTTCAGTATCACCCGTAACCAATAAGAGAATTTCTCAAGTGGTAAAAGTCCCACTGTAAAAATGATCCAGAGAGAATACATTGGAGAAATGGCAAGGTAATAATCTCTTGTAGGCTCTTTAAACTGGTCTGCAAAGACCACTAAAGGCACTATCAAGTTAAGGATTACAATACTTAGGTATATTTGGAAGAAAAGTACTCAATTTCTTGTTCTTAAGCTTCCGAATCGGTATATATTTTTAAAAGAATTATATCCATGTTTAACTGCCAAATTTAGCAAAGTCAAAAGGATGCCCATGATAATTGATAAGCTAATAGTCTCAGATTTTGTATCCTGATATTTGCTGCATAGTTTCTTCATCTCAGCATCTGAATTCACTGCATCTCCCTTTAGAAATCAGACACATGTCAAGATTTCTTCTGAAGATGTTGCCAGCTGGGTGGAAGTATAGTCGTCTGCTTCATAAGCCATTCATTGCATGTGGTTCTTGAGATATTTATAATTAGAGTTGATCTCTGATGCTAGCAACCCTACTAAGACTGCTCATGTACCTGTGAATAAACTTGTGATGATTAATAATTTGATGATCTTCCAAACATTTGGGTAACTGGCATTCTCATAAATCTTCTGATTAGGATTATCTAGTCCTTTATGGACTCTAAAGGAATCAGTTTCAGAAATAGACTTACATAAATCGTTTCTTGGAAGGGCCTCTCACTTTTGTGATGAACTCGCCTATCTCTATGGTATCTTCTATTCACTTTTTCTTATGCTCTGGCAACTCGAAGGTTACATAGACCTCTTTATTAGCAGCAGTACTGCTGTTTAATACCAGTCTTTCTAATTTAGCTTTCTGTTTTGCTTCTATATTTGTAAATCTAGTTAGTTTAGATGATCCTTTCACTCCGAGAATCAAATTACGAGCTTTAAGATCCCCCACCTTTCTGCTGATCTTAGAAAGTTTGATTTGGTTTTTGAGGATATCACCAGTATCTTTAATGATGGCCACTTCATGAACTTTTCCAAATTTGTTATCAAAGACCTTTTTGATTTCTTTTTCAAGATCTCCATTGTAATCTGTGCTGATATTTGCCAGTTTCACAGTGTAATCTCTTGCAAAAATTCTCATTCTTGCTCTTAAGGTAATAATGCCTAGAAAAATACAGCAGGCAAGAACATCAATAGAGCAAGTCAAGAACTTTGAACTTTCGACTTGGTCCATTCCGTTTTGCTTTTCTATCTCAAACCTTGCCATAGTTTCTAGTCCATTTATGTTTGCGATAGAGAATTCCTCAAATCCTGTTATCTCATCATTGCTCGTAAGATATTCTCCAGAGGTGTTACTTCCAAAATTGGTTATATACATTCAGAAGAGAAGAATCATAATGAATGAGAACTTTTTGAGGAAATACATATAATCGAAAAGATGGATATCCTGACCATTACAGATACTTTCAATGCTAGATTTGAAGAAATGATACTGAGACCCATCTTTCTTTAGTATCGTCTCTTCTTTAAGTCTTTCTTCAGCCCTTGCTTGATCAGCTTGCATTCTGTCCTTCTTGAGTTGCTCTTCTAAATTGCTTCTGTAAACCCTGTCAATTACGGTTTGTGCGTTATGGCTCATATCGTCTCCCATTAGGTCGATAAGGGTTGGATTTTGACTCTTGTCCATCACAGTAGACTTATTAGAGCTGACGTTAGAGATAGAAGACTGATTCATCTTATTCTTGTTATTCTCAATGTCTGATTTAGACTCCTCTTGTTCATCTATGACATCCATTTTATCTTAATTTAAGTCAAATTTTTTGCAGGTTTGAGGGGTTTTGGGGTTTTGGGGTTTTGGGG